TCCGTATCTGCTACATTTATGCGTAGATGCATTTCGTCCGCGCTGAAAGACGAGTTTTTGGTACAGTTCAAACGTAGTAAATTTTCGAAGTTCGGACATCAGCGAATTTCCTTCTTGAAATAAATGCCATCTGCTGTCAGACACAATTGTTGCATACTTAACTCAAAACTGCTTGCTTCGCCTTTACTTTCTCGGAACAGTGTCGTATGACTATGCTCGAGGATTGAAAGAAGTTTTACTGCTGCGCTAAATAGAAAACTGTAACCAAATAGACTTGATGTATTGAAACGACATTTCGGCGATCAAGATTACTAATAGTTTTGGGTCATGCTTCCGACGTTTTTCACTTCTTAAGATCCGGACAGTACTGAAACCAGACTGCGCAAATTTAGGTTACAGCATTTAAAGAAAGTGTTCTGAAAGGAGTTTATCTTTTTAGCAGCTTTCGTTTCTGTGACGTTCGTCGTCAAAATCATCTAGCAATGAAGCTGATTATCTTTGCCGTTCTACTCCAGCTGGTAAGAGCATAACAACCTCTTAGTTGATCTCAATTGATAAAGTTTCAAATTGTTTACGATATAGGACGGATAACAATTAACATTCTGGCCGCAATTGATTTTAAAACTAATCTCTTACGTCATGGAGTTTTAATATCCTGAGGAATTAATGCGGCTATCGAACAATGGATCGTTAATGCTTTCGGATTTTTGATAACGGAAGTTAAAAGGTTTCCATCAGAGAATATTTCATTTGTTCCAGTGTTGTATGAATTATATATTCACCGTCATCAAGGCAACAGTTCTCGTGACGTATTAAACGAGCTTACCATATTTCGTCATTCTGCCAGCCACATGCGAAAAAATTCGTTGTTTACTGGTGTGTGAAAATTACCTAGAAAACTTACTAGTAATATTCCTTAATTTTTTTATAGTTTCAACTTACACTTGGAACTTTATTGCAATGACTAATCATGATTTTATCAGTTTTGACTGGCGTCGAGAGCTGCTGCAGCATAAGCGGTTTGTCTAACTAAGTTGCGGTTTATATCATGCTAAATGAATTGGCTAAGCTTTAATTTTATTGTAATAAACTGAGGTTCTTTAAGAACGTCATGTCAAAATTTTCGTGGTGAAACACAGGCAAAGTATTGCGCTGGAAGCATAACTCCTGGTCGTTTTAGGCTTCCGTAAGCGGATCAGTCACTACTTGCGCGACATCGTATTTGCAATGCGGTTTCGATAAAGCGGGTACAGTGATTGCTACAATGGAAGCTCAATCTGCAACTGCATTTTCATCAACAATTCCAAAGTGCTTTAAGGAGTAGGCAACGCTCATTTTTAAAACACGTCTTTCGCACGACTATCCACTCATGGATCTAATACTACTGTTTCAGAGCCAACTGCCAAGTGCCAGCCTTTGACCGTATCAATGTCCAAGAATTGGTCACTGACCCGACATGGAGAAATCGAATTAACCTGATCTTCCAGTTCATCAGAGAATGGGACCCTGCTGTAAAGGATTGTGTTTCACAATATTTCATCAAAGGAGTGTCCCGACTTGTG